ATATAAATGGGGGGGGCGCATTTTGATAAAATAAAACATTACAAAAACGGTACTGACAGTGCTGCTTCATACCTAAATTTATTTTCAGAAAAATTGTTATTATTTTATAATTCAGAATCACTTCTAAAACTTTGTTCAGTCTTACGGTATATGTTTAAAGGGCCTGTGACATAAAATTTTAGTAATATACATGAATGCATTTTTGGAAAGATAACATTGATAACATACTGGAAAGCAAATTTCACGCCGCTCAGATGAATGGTTGTTGAGATATTTGCATGTAAAGAAACAGGAAGTGATGTCAAAGGGGAATATCAGCATGTAAACAGAGCGTTGTTACAACAGAATGTAGAGAAGAATCTGACCTTTCTTTAGATTATTTTGAGTCACTATTAAACACAGATGATGAAGAGTTGAAGTTTAAACAATATTGTTTTAATAAACAAAGACCAGAGAGTTTATTTTATTAATGAGTTCCCCTTTGATGTCACTTCCTGTTTCACTTTGGCTGAGCCAAATCCAAAAGAAAATAGGCCAGTTATGTGACAAAGGCTGTGTCCAAAACGGGAGGCTGGGTCCTCCGAAAGACCCGGCCTACTCGGTCGAGGTGGGCCAGGTCCTCTGTAGACCATGAAGACCGGAAAATAGTGGCTGTGAATTTGGACGGTCTAGCCTCCCTTCCTTACCCCAACGTGCGTCATGCTGCCTGGCAACCATGACAACGCTAAACAGAAGCAAATTTTGATCGAAATTAGAAAAATATAAATATATTAGTGTTATTAATACCGCAAAACAATAAAATTAACTTAAAGGCAATATTTGAAGAACTAATGAACCCGCTGTAGGTGCATGTTTATTTCGCTATATAAGTTAGTTTTTTTATGACAAAAATAATATTTAAAAACACGGCTACACAAATGATAAAAGTACTAAAATTACAACCGCTTGAAAATTAAAATATTTATACCGCCATAATTTTTTTAAACATCTTCTTTTCTCTCGCTTCACCCGCTGTTGCTAGCAAAACAAAAATCTCTGTTCGGGTTGCAATGCATTATGGGATATGGTGGGCCGGGAAGGATCCATCCGACCAGTCCTTCAATTCGGGACAAAGGAAGGATGCATTTGTCGGCCGCATCGGAGGAGTCATCGGTTTTGGACGGCCTTTGTCGTGGCACGGTGACGTAAGTGGCCGATGATTCTGGTCTTCAGAGGACCCGGCCCCTCGTTTTGGACACAGCCAAAATGGGTAAAATCATGCGTATTATGCCAATTTTCCTATTTGACAGATATGCATGTCACCGGTACTTTAAAGTTTTGTTAGTAGATAAAACCCTCCCTCATATTATGGTGTATAGTGAAATCTGCACAGTTCAGCAGGGAAGTAACTAAAACGCTGCTTATAAGAAGGAGATGGCAGGAAAAGCCTGTCTGCCGTTGATTCAATGAAAGGAATTATTTGCTGGTTAAACTATTGACAGCTCTAAATCTCTGCCTGTGGTAGGTTTGGGCTGCTTGTCAACTGGCTGGCTTAAAGAACCATGATAACCACTAATCTGCAGCAAAGATCAGAGCCGACACACTGTTTTAAGYCACACAGATTTTCTCTGTTTTGTTTCAGCTTGACCCCCAACAACGGGGAACTCAGGCTCAGTACGTTAAATCAGTCAGCGTACTAACCCGGACAGCGGTGCTCTTAGCCTGGGCGCGCTGAGGTTGTGCACCTGGAGCGGCCTGCTCCCTCGTTCCGCTCCCGTGCGCCCTGGCCGTGGCTCCGGATGTACCGTTCGTGCAGACCCCCGCGCCGGAGCCGGTCCTCCGAGGCCTCTGCTTGATGCCATCCAGCAGGCGCACGAGGAGGATGTTGCTCGGGAGCTCGTCCACGGCGCACTCCACCAGCGTCCGGCACTCGGGGCAGCGCAGCTCCCCGCGCGAGCCCAGGATGCCTTGGAGACATCTGCGGCAGAAGGTGTGCTGACAAGGGAGGACCTTGGCGGAGGCGTCCAGGCGCTCCAGGCACACGGGACACTCAAGCAAATCCAACAGCACCGATTCATCCATCCTCCTCAGGTGTTGTCTAACTTCAGAAAACCATGATCCATGAGGTTTTTGATCAGAAGTGCATCAACGTGCGTCACGTCACTCCCATGCCTCGGCTATTGCCATGGCATTTTCATCAGCTATGAAGGTAAAGGTAAAAAGATGTAAATGAACCAKAAATAGGAGCATCCACATGACAGACACACAGCTGAAACTCTGTGGTGCTGAGTCAGGGTTAACCTCAGGAAACTTTCATTATTAAAAACACACTGCCCTCCTTTTAGGACTTACATCAGTTAACTACTGCCAGACACGTAACCTGGTCTAATTTAGCTAACAGGATAATTACACTTGATAATTGGGATCTGGCTTTCTTTAAATGGTCAACACCAGGAGCCTGAACTGATGCTGCATGAGTGAAAAACTGTGATTTTTCTACATGTTGAGTACAATTACACACAGCATTAACAATATAATCAACGTAAATGTGCTATAAAGTAAAATAAAGAACAAAAAATGAACTTCATTATYTTAAATAAGAAAAAATCTGTGGAAATATGTTCCAGAGAAAGTAATTAAAAATAAGTTTGAAGCTACTGCTTCTCAAGAATGAACCAGAATTACGTAACACTTTCACGCTTTTTGTTTTTGCTTTTTACAACGGTACCACTCCTGAGATGTGAACTTATTGCTAATAATTAAAAAAACAAGCTAATTTAAATTAACAAGAAGCTAACTTTGCTAGCGAATACCACATATATTAACATTAAAAACCGCCTTTTAAATAAACACCGAGTTTTAAAAACAGTTTCAAGAACTGACGAGACAAAAACTAACTCATACGAGACACTTTAAGCTTTCCAAACACTCCAGCCTACAATTTAGCTTACCTGCTTTCAAAACAGGACTCCTCTTGTTGGTCCTTATTTTCAATTTTTCACCTATTTGCTAACATTAAGTTAGCAACCTACCCCAAATATTCCCGATACTTTTCCTGTGAGTATTACGCGCATATAAACCGTCTGTTTGCCGACACGAGTTTCATTTAAAGGCGTRCAGCGTAAGAAGCGAACATACCTTACACAAACATACCGTAGATCCCAAAGTAAAAACGTAACAACATGAAGGAAAGTCGAGGAGGACACAAGAGAAAAGCAGCCGCTCAGAGCGCCATGCTCGTACTGCTGCTGTGTGTGCTGCTGGAACAAGCCGAGAGGCGGGGGGAGGAGGAGGAGGCCTTCACGGACACCCGGGAAATTAGGAAACTGAGCGAACACTCGTCAAAAGCTCAACACGAAACATGAAATGTCACTTTCATGTTAGAGATATTTACACTGACTGCTGTCAGTGAAGGACTATTATTAGTCATAGTTTTTATTGGATTGGATTGCTCATTAACACACACACACACACACACACACACACACACA